TCTCGCCACTGGTCCCAGTTAGTTAGCCAGCCATTATATATTTATACTATAAAAAAAAAGACAATATTATTACAATATCGAAATCAATCAATTCTCTTATATACACATTGTATCCTAATTTCTGATGTATTTTCTGGCCAATACTTTATCAAACTCTTATTGATGACCCAAACTCATCAACTATTAAAATTTATCACAATAAAATTTCTGATCTGAAAATTCCCAAATATGTTAACAGATTAGTTAAAATCCCCTTCATTAGATTCATTAATGAGTACAACACTAGCATAGCAACAAAAAATCTTACTATTTTGTGGCACAACTTGAAAAAGCACCAGCCACTATCTGATATCTTTTCCAAGATTAATTTTCAATTCTCCAGTGCTTTCTCTCCACAGTCACATTTTTACTATTAATTGACAATACTCACGCAACCAGTGCTACACACTGGATCAAATTTGTAAATTATTATACCAACTTATTTGACACACTTCTCAGTGACTCAGCTATTTTCAAATCTTCCTCCTTGAATAAACTGGAAATTATTATTAGAGTGAATAACAAGCTAAAAAGTCTTGATTAGTTAAAATACAAGGCATTATCAACATTCAGAACCAAGCTCTTTGCTAATCAACTCCCGATCAGGATTAAACTCCACAAATGATACCTTATTTTCTATCCAGATAATCTCTGCTCAAGATGTGATGCATATCCAGAGGACCTTTTATATATTTTCTTTTGTATATATATCAAGCCATTAATTAACAAAAAGAAATCCAAACTTGAAAACCTTATCTAAAACTTAACCCCAAAAGTATCAAGGTCACTGACTTCTCTGGGATATTTAAACTAACATCAAATACTTTGGTTGATTTAGCCACCTGTAATTTTAATCCTCCGTTTAATATACTTGAGAAAAAGGAAGATATTTTCAATTATGTACTCAAGATTCTTCACAAGGCATGAAAAATACAGTCTGCTATAGCAACAACTTTGCCTGCATCTGATATTAAATGGAAAAAAACACCTAGCTCTAAGTCATTTAATTTAAATACAAATGACAATACCACTTTTAACAAAATTTTAAGTTTATTAAATACATTATTAAATTATACTGACAAATCAATTTTTATTCCAGCAGTAATATCATTGTTCTGAATAGACATTAGCCATTCAGCACTATTGATGTAAGCCCACCTCCGTGATGATATTTGGCATCAATAGATTTGTTGCGATAGGCTACAATTAATTTACTTTTGTAAAGATTGTTAATATAATAACAGTAAATTTTAAATTTAAATAAAGTCTTGCATTTAATGCCTGTTTGCAATAAAAAAAGAAAAGAAAAAGAGAGAAAAAAAGATAATAAAAAATTTTCATTAAATTAAATTATTATACTTATCATATTGTTCTTAATCAATAAAATCACTTCAAATCATTCAAACTTATCAAATATATATCTTTTTTCTGCTTATTACCTCTTGTTAAAAATTGTGATTCCTGTTAAAATATTACAAAGTCAAGATTTTATGTTGTGATTGTTTTTAATCCTGATTTGTGACTAGAGCTCTAAAAAGTACCAAACTAATATCAAAGTGTAATTGAAATAATACTGATCTATAGTAAATTTAATATATGAGTTGTAATCTATTCATATAAACTTATGGTAAATTTAAGTATTAAACTAATATTGAAGTAATATTGAAGTAGTACCATTAGGAACCCTATTTGTAACAATATATAAATAATATTATTAGATGTTTAAAAATATTGCTTCTTAATATTATTTATATTTAAAAAAAGATTAATATTTTTATAATAGCAGTTTATTTATTATTTAATTAAGCAGAAAGAAAAATTATAGTTAGGCAAATTATTTAAATTATAAATTATAATAAATTTTATTATACAATTTTAAAAAACTTTAATATATATTCAAAAATAATTTATTTATTGAAGTTATTATCTTATTAGCAAAATAATTAATTTATTAATCTCTTCTTAATTATATAAATTTTAATTAGCAATTTAATAAAGAGATTATTATATTTAAATACTCTTATTAGTACTTTTCAAATTAATCAAATGTGATTATATAAAACTTTGATTTTCAAAGTTATTTGATATAATATTTAAAAATATATTATTATTTAAACTAATTATTATATGATATTAATAAAACTAAACTATTTCAAATTTCAAAAACTAAATTATTTATAAGTTTAATATCAAAAATACTTTAAAACAATATTAAAAAAACTTTATTTAAAATATAAAATTATAAATATAGTAAGTTTATTAATCTTTTCTAGTTAAAATAAACTTTATAAACAAATATATTAAAAAAACTAAAAATTAATTTAGCTCCAAAAAATCAATGTACCAATTTAAAAAAAAATTTAAAAGTTATATAAAAAAATTAACAATGTTATTTTTAAACATTAAAAAGAATTATTATAATTCAAAAACTTTATTCAAATAAATTTTTTTAATTTTAAGACTCTTTTAATCTTAGAATTAAATTATTTGCAAATTAATTATCAATATGAATTAAACTTTACAAAATATATTTTTATTTTATAATTTAAGTATTTTTTAAAATATAATAATTATTCAAAAAAATATTTTATAAGTTTATATATATTTATATTATATCTATAATTATAAAATACAAACAAGTTTAAATTCTTTTAATATTAATAACTATAAAAGATAATATAAGAATATTATTATAATTTTTTATTATAATTAATATTATTGAATCTATACTTTTGATTTTTTTATTTAAAAATTTATATCTATTTTTAATATATAATAAAAAATGTATAAGTATCTCTAATGAAACTTTTAAAATTCTTATATAAAATTTGAAAACAACATTTTATCTATAGCTATTATCTTTTTATATTTGGCAAAATAAAAAAAATTTGTTTAGCAACATTGAACTAGTAATAAATCTGAAAACTAGTATCTTTATCAGTATAATAAATAATTTAAATCTAAGAATAACTTAACAAATAAAAAAATTTTCTTCTTATAATAATTTTATTATTGTGAACTATATTAAATATTAAATACTAACTTATGGGTCTATAGCATAGTGGTAGTGCTCCATAGGTTTTTAAGAGCAGGTCTAGGGTTCAAACCCACCTGGTTATAAAAAATATATTGCAAAAGTCAATTATGTTGCATAAGATGAAACTTCTAGCCTCTTTAGTGATCATGGGGTTGCAACTAATTACAAAAAAAGGAAAGAATTGCATGAAAAAAAGCTTTTTGGTCTAATTCTAGTTAAACTCCACAGCCATGTTACATAAACAATGACATATTTGATACTACAGATTGGACTGTATACTATTTTAACCAATCTTGCTTAACTTATATGTTAGAAGAAAGAAGATCAACTCTGAAGAGATTATTGATATATTCACCAATGTGTGGAAGTGTTATAGCAGAGAAACACTATATATATCATATAGGAGTTGCATTCTACTTAATATTTATGCCTCTAGATTTGATAGCTTAAACCAATTGAATTCCCTTGAAGTGTCTACTAGGAAATAAAAGGAGTCGCACCCACTTGATCATTTGGTCTATAGATTTGGTAGCTTGTATCAACCAAGGATTATAATTTTGAAGCATTTATTAGGAAGTATATGGATACATCTTATTATCTTCTGATTCTATTCTTGGAAGATAGCTGAAAATATGAAGTGAAAAAAGTGATCTATAGAATACTAATATGAATTCCAGTTCTAAAAACAATCACTATCCCTTAAAATAGTTGGATCAATAGATTAGATGGTTTAAACTAGTAATAGAACTTCTTTCTTCTAGATAAATCCCTCCCAAAAAATATAAATCCATTTCAAGAGTATCATTAGTATCACTGAAGCAATAAAGTAGGATAGGTTAGCATTTAACTATAGTCTAACATTGCAAATGATGTTTGATGTAATTGTGATATTATATATATACTGTATATTAATAAACAATTGGCATCTAATGTCTATTCTACTAAAAAAAAAAAAATTAAACATTAAACACTATTAATAAGAATCTGTTATTAGTATATATTGGATTAATAGCTAGTTACAATAAACTATGGTTACTATTTGTAAAAATTTTTAATATATTAATTGTAATCTATAATTAATTAAGTCTCATGTTTAATGCCCATTTGCAATAAAAAATTTTTTTAAAAAATTATTAAATAGAAAAGATCTATTACGGTATTAATAATATAAAAAACAATTAATAGAAAAGGCCTATTAATGATATAAAATAATATAAAATTTTTTTAATAATTTTAATAAGAAAAAATATATATTAATTTCATAAATTTAGAAATTGGCATGTAATTAAATATTTTGAAATAAAAGTTAACATTCAAATCACCTTATTGACTATTTTTTAATTTTTATAAATTTTTTATTTAATAATCATGTTTAAATTGATATGTACTAATTTTTTTTAATAAATAAAATCCCGTTTATATAATTTGTAATTTCAATTTATAAAAAACTAAAATTATTTTAATAAATTCTGCAATTACTATTAGCAAGTGGTTTATTTTTCACATGCCCGTCAATAAAAAAAAATACTGTACAATCAATCAATTATTCATTTTTATTATCGACAATTTTTATTATAAAATTTATCTATTAAATTTGTAATATATTTAACTTTAAAAATCACCTTTTTTAATAGGTAAAGAATATTACAAACTTTACAACAAGTTGCGAGTTTTGTTTAACACTATAAATTATTCGCTCATTATTAATAATAATGTGACTCCCGGGCTTATACGTAACAATTTTAGTTATTTAGTATGCAGTAATTTCCTTCTATCAATTACAGTAACAAGTAATAAATATCATTTATTAAATATTTATTAAAAACATAATTTAAGTCGATGATAACAAATATACAATAATTTTTTTTTCATTTGCTAATAACGTACATAAAAATAAATTAAATATCAAATTTGACGAAGTCCATTATACTGTTACTTTAGGGATTCCGGAAAGACGTTGCATTATAATATTCATCTCTTTTTCAGTCATTTGTGTTCTTCTAATCTTAAATCCTATAGGCACAAGCATACCAATAGCAAAAGACAATGATAAAATTTGGACCCCAAACAAAATCGAAAGAACTTTGAAGGTCGTGGATTTATCTTTCTTTTTTTTGTATAACTCTAAAATTTTGATTTTGTCATCGAATGTATACTCATATAACTCCGACACCAATCGTGGTATAATAACCTTAATTAAAAAGAAAACATTTAGAATAATCAATAGAAACACCGAGGAAACAATTATTAGATATTTGTCAATAAGTAAAAATATATCGTTATTATCATCGGTAAGCAAGATATAAATTGAAAATCCAGCCAGCGCGGTAAGAATAATTGAAAATAGAATGGCCCATAGAATCCGAAATATCAACATGCGTCGCATATTTTCAGCCAGTTTGCTCATGAAGTACAATTCTTTTCGATTATATATTTCGTCGTCTCGTCCTGGTTTAGTCGGAACTTCATTTTCACCCCTCGGTTCCCAATCCTTAACGCAACGAGTAACTTTCAATTCATTTTCTTCGGCATACAATTTTTTCATAGTGTCTAATTTGCTTCTAAAAATTAGGTTCTTGAGAGACGCTAGACATCCTGAAAGACTAAATGTGCTCACTATTCCAGAAAAAATAACGGAAAGTGTATTTCTGGCCTTTGACTCTACGACATTTTTTGTAGAGACTAGGAGAAAAACGCCGACTATAAGAGAAGTTAAACACACCAAAGCGGTAATAATTAAATTTACATATGACAAAGATTGAAGCTTCTCCCATTTTCGAAACTTTTTTCTTAGTTTTACAAAGTAAAATGTTTCAATGGGAACATTCGTAGTCCTCTCTTGATTTTCGTTATTTGGGGTTCCTTGGATTATGTCTTTCGTAGGTTCGTCTTCTTCCATTATTTATTTTACTAATATTTAGGATTAAAGGGCTTTATAAATAGGAAATTATACGTGTACGTACTTTCGATATCCATGCGGTACCAAGTTACCTTAATGAATCTATTGCATTTATTGTATGTGTAATTGTTGGTAGGTTCTAAATTATGAATTCGTATTTCTTATTCAAAATTTCTAAATATGATTGTTAAATGGGCTATATACTTTTAGTCCGTGTGAAAGGAAGCATTCAAGAAAGTAAGCAATCAAGTGAAACTTTATTCTTCACAAATTTCTGCCGTGTTCATGCTGACGGAACGTTCGTATATAATCGGAAATGGCTTTTAGAGAAAGCATTTATTACGAATCATCAAAAATTGAACAAAATTAGGCTTCCATGACTTGTTATTTTTATTGTGCCATACCTGTTTTAGAAATTTTCTACGATTATCTGTTTTAAATTGGCTATAAATGATACTATTGAAAAAAAGGATCAGCGGTTGTATTGACTAATCAAGGTTTTAGAATGCGTATTTTCTATGCATTTTGTTGATCGTAATAGTCATACAGTATGTACACTCATACGCAAAAGTAAAGGCATTATATAAATATATAGAGTCAATACTGCAAATTAAATTAAATTAATACTATTTTACAGTAAATACAGTTTGTCTAAAAAGTCTTTGAATAAATTTTTATTTAATATTTTTATTTGTATAAATAATTAATAAAATAAAACAAAATTTAAATGATATTAATAAGAATATAAAAATCAAATTTACTTAATAGACTTTATTATTATATTATTAAATTTATTAAAATTATTGTTATATTAGAACAAAAATTTTTAATATATTGATTTAATTAAATTATAATAAATAAATAAATAAATTATTTATAATAATTTTAATTCATCAATTTGTAATATAAAAACAAAAAACATATTAAAAAATAACTTGTATTAAATTTTAAGTTGCATAATTAATTTTTTAATTAAATAAATTTATAAAAATTTAGTACAAAATATCATTTTTTTTTCAAAATTTTATATATAAAAGATTATTTATTTATTTTTTTTAGTTTAAATTTATTAATAAAGTATAAAAAAAAATTATTATTTTATTTTATAGTATATTCTAAAAAATATATCTTTAGATTTTATATCAAATAAATAAATAAATATTTGTTTCAAGACTTTTTATACAAAATATACTTATATAAAAAATCATAATCATTTTTATTAAAATATTTTTTGAAATAAAATTAAGTACAGATAAGTGACACGATACTATGTTATATAAATAGATACTAATAAACAAAATTAATATAATAAATTTTTATTGTATATTAAAAGTTTAAAATAGTATAAATATGAAATTGGCATTATTAAAAAAGTAAATAAATAAAAAGAAGATCAATTAAGTTTTGGATTGTATTGCATCAACAGCAATATTTTTGTTTTCTTTTAAACAAACATCAATAAATCTTAATAAATGAGATTAGTATTTTCTGCAAACAAAGAAAATAGTTATAATTATATATAGTGATAGCCATAAATAATAGGAATTGTAAATTTATTTTTATTTATTTAAAAAAAATATTTATTACATAAAAAAAAAATAGCTAAACTATTGTACTAACTAATATTTTTTTTAGTAATTTATTTTATGTACATTTTTAGTCACCAACTCTTTCAAATAATGAGACATGTTTTTTACTAATTCAATCAGCATGCTTTTTTCAAAACCCACCTATTCTGATTTATTTGATTCTTTAAATCAATAGACATAATAGATTTTTTCTCGTACCTTTTTATTAATTTTTATTAATTTTTTTTTTAAATTACCTACAGATTTTCGATAGAGTTAAGATCTGGTGAATTTGATAACCAGTTTAAAACCTGTACATGAGAATTGATCAGAAATTGTTTTGTTACCTTTGCCATATACTTAAGGTTATTATCCTGTTAGAGGAGCCAACCACAACCTATTATAGTTTGTATATTAGCAAAATTATTCATAAGAATTTGATGGTAGAACTCCTCATCCATTTTTTAAATAAATATATAAAAACCAACAGTACCTCTTATTGAAAATGCATTCCATATATGAATCTTGTATAGGTACTTAACTATAAAACATTGTGGCTATTTTATATCAGCTATATAATAAACTTGGATTGTATTATGGAACATCTGAAGATACAGAGGGTGGACATATTATTGCGGACACTTAAAAAATTTTTTTAAAAAAAATTGTACATAATAAAATTAGTTAAAATTTTTATAGTATATTTATTATATGTTAATATATATATGTATATATATAAATAAATAAAGTTATTATTGAAAAAAATTTTTATTGATATTTTTTTTCGTGACTTTTTCGTGATAACTTCTTTTCTATTTTTATATGAGTGCCAAAAAAAATCTCACCAATGTATAGAGAGCAGCCATAATTTATAACTATAAAAATAATGATTCCTATTATACTATTGCAACTCAAGTTGGTTGTAAAAAAACAACTGTGGATTCAATAGTTAACAAGTTTTTGAAGATCAGATTAGCCATATCATGAACAAAAAGAATTGGACGATTGTCAACTGTTAACTGTGACATTCTTAAAAAACTTGCTATCAAGAATCAGCATTTATGCACTGCTAAGTTGAATTCTCTCTATTATAAAAAAACAAAAAAAAAAGGTATTAGAAAAGATCATTTGTTATGCTCTTTATAAGAAGCAGTTGAAAAGTTGCATCGCCTGTAAAAAACCACTCATCTCAAGCAATAATATTGCAAAACGTCTTGCCTGATGTTGTAACCATAAAAAGTGGACTGTAAAAGATTTTAAAAAAGTATTATGGAGTGATAAGTCTATGTTTATCCAGTTTCAGCAAGCACAAAACTGTTGAGTCTAGTATAAACCAAGTGAAGAATGAGATCTTGACTGTTTGGTTGCCACCATCAAACACAGCCCAAGTCAAATGCACTGGGGATGTTTTTCCTGGTTTGGAATCAGCCCTCTAGTTCCTCTATATAAGTTGATAAAGAGTATATATATTAATGAAGAAATAAACAAAAAAGAAGTAGAAAAAATGGTGAATAGTGGATAAAGAAAAGGGTGGATGGACAAATGAGAGAGAGAGTGGACGAATGGAAGAAAGGGTGGATGGATGAATGGGAAAAAGGAAAAAAAAAATAAAGTAAGGATGAGATATATATAGACAGGCATGATGAAGAAAAAAATAACGAAAAAAAAAGGTAGGAAAAAAAAGAATCAGAAAACAGAAACAGAAAAGCGAAAAGAAAAAGAAACAATTTTTTTTTTCTAAATTTTTTTTTAAATTTTTTTTACAGCGGCATCCTATGTCAACATATTTAAAGAATATCTTTTACCGGAAATCAATAATATTCCTAATTGGTCTCATAGCAGCCATTCCATTTTTTAGCATGATAATATGTCCCACACATCGCAAAAATTACTACAATGTTTCTTGACACTAATAAAATTCGGGTTATGGACTGGCCACCTCAAAGTTCAGATCTTAACCCGAATGAGAACCTGTGACACATTGTTAAACAACAGGTTTTTCAAGCTAAACCCGCAAGTCTTACTGATTTGGATCAAATTG